AATCAAAACAGTGAAGTGACAATCAGGTCTGAGATTTAGAGTATATCTGTCAAATCTGAATTAACACTATATACATATATCTGTCTGTTTCCCAGAGATGGGTTGCGGCTGGAAGGGCATCCGCTCCGTAAAAAAACTTGCTGCATGGAAGGGCATCCGCTGCGTAAAAAACTTGCTGGATAAGTTAGCAGTTCATTCTGCTGTGGCGACCCCGGGTTAATAAAGGGACTAAGCCGACAAGAAAATGAATGAATATATCTGTCTGGCCACATTTGTATTGCAAGAATATAACAGCTTCAAATCGCAATATAACGTATAGCACACAAGTTAGACATTATCTAACAACACACAATTTAGTCTATTGAAATTACTGTTTGGGATAAGCAAGGAATGAAAGAACAATTCCTGTAACGATTAAACAAAACAACAACAAAAAAATCCACCAAGGCAAAGTCTGAGGCGAGTTGTACCTTTGATGGGCCGTCCCTCATTTTCTTCATCTGGTCTTTGTATTTCATCAGTTCGGCATCAAGCCTGGCTATTTTCTTATCGACCGACTCTGCTCGAGAGTCAACCTGGAATTTAGCAAAGCAAAGAAAAATATTCCACAGAGTTTCATAGATGTACATAAAAATAATAGCCCAAATTGTATAAAGATAAAAATAGCAATGATAAGTCACTGATGATCACTAACAAACCAGCAAAACAGGTTTAATTTTACACAATATCAACAACACAAACCCTTTGTCCCCGGAAACATCTTTTAAAACATAACTTACGTGCGTATTTGGACACAACAATCACATAATTAGCACAAGTAACAGTTAAACAACAAGAGAGTGGTATAATGTGTATAATATATGATATAACGTTACACACATACAGACAGAGTCTGTTTCACGACATGACACAGCAAAATATATTGATAACAAAAAGCCTGTTCAAATTGTCATTGACATTCAACATAATGAGAGATGTAAACGTTACCCCGAAACGCTGACCATTTCAGCTTTCAGTTATTTTGTTGGGAAGTACAAAAGTTTAACAACAAAATACTTACACCTGATATACAGTCCGTGAGGTTCGGCGGTGGTCCTTTGGGTTTTCCTCGTCCGAAGATACGATTCATCTTGACAGTATCTTTAATAAACGGGTTTAAATAAAAACGAAGAAAAGACAAAACAGTCTCTCCCTTTCACCGCCTGACAACAAAACGCAGCCTGAAAAGCAACCCGGAAGTACTGACGTCATGACGTCCAAGAGGTTTCACACACATAGATATGTTTCACACAGACCAAGACCCATTTAAAGCAAAACTTAATGGTTAAATGGTAAACTATGTTATTGGCACGTTCGAAACACTGCTTCACAGTGATTCGAGATCTTTAAGAACTTTTTTGTTTTGATTCAGTGGATCGGAGCTTTTCGAACTCCAGTATTCACGTGATTTCAATAAAGAGGCGTAGGCGTGTCCAACTAAATGTAGAGCTGCGCTATCTGTACAGACCGATCCCTTGTTGACGTCAAAGTACCGTGAGAGCAACTTAAAAAACACACGGAGCTGTCGGATTATGGCAAGCCGTTTTAACATTTACTACTTTGTTTTGACTATCCATAAATATATTTAGAGATATCTCTAATTATATTTTTAACTGACCGCTACCAGTTTGTGAATCTTAATGGACAGCCTTCACAAATCTGCCCAGTAAAGTATGGGGTGCCTCAAGGATCAGTTTTAGGCCCTTTACTGTTTACAATTTATATGCTACCTCTGGGAGACATTATTAGAAGACATGGGATCAGCTTTCACTGCTATGCAGATGATACTCAATTATATATTTCAACTAAACCTGACGAGACGTCTGAACTTTCTAAACTAACTGAGTGTATCAAAGACATCAAAGACTGGATGACCAACAATTTTCTTCTCTTAAACTCCGACAAAACAGAATTGTTACTTATTGGGCCTAAATCTTGCACACAGCAGATCTCGCAACTCAATTTACAATTAGAAGGATACAAAGTTAGCTTTAGCTCTACTATAAAAGATTTGGGTGTCATATTTGACAGCAATCTAACTTTTAAAAACCATATATCCCATGTCACTAAAACTGCCTTCTTTCATCTGAGAAATATCGCTAAATTATGAAATATGCTATCCATCTCAGATGCAGAAAAGCTAGTCCATGCTTTTATGACTTCGAGACTGGATTACTGTAATGCTCTATTTGCTGGCTGCCCAGCATCCTCTATTAACAAACTTCAATTAGTACAAAATGCAGCAGCCAGAGTTCTGACCAGGTCTAGAAAATATGATCATATAACCCCAATTTTATCCTCCTTACACTGGCTGCCTGTTAAGTTTCGTATTGAATTTAAAATATTACTTCTCACCTATAAAGCTCTAAATAATCTAGCTCCTGTTTATCTAACCAACCTTCTGTCTCGCTACAAACCAACTCGCTCTTTAAGATCTCAAAATTCAGGGCTTCTGGTAGTACCTAGAATAGCAAAATCAAGTAAAGGAGGTCGAGCCTTCTCTTTCATGGCTCCTACACTCTGGAATAGCCTTCCTGATAACGTCCGAGGCTCAGACACACTCTCCCAGTTCAAAACTAGATTAAAGACCTATCTGTTTAGTAAAGCATACACTCAATGCATCACCTAGCGGGTTCCACACTGGCTTCTACATCTTGCTTATATACACTATGAACAGCAGCTACGCTAATTATTTTCTTTATTCTCTATTTTCACCTGGGGATACTCATCCCGAGGTCCTCAGATTATGCGGAGTCACTGATTGGATCCAAGACCAGCGACGTGATGATCCCAAGGATTCCATATCCGGGACCAGGCCATATCCTGAGCTGCTGCTGCGCTGATGGTCGTGGGGAGTGGAGAACATGAGTCTGATTTCAGCGACGCTCCAGGGACAGACGAGTCTTCGCTGAGGCCATCTTCCAGCCTAAACCACGACGAATGAAGTTCTGCACTAGACTTTTGGCCAGCGGAGAAATTAAAATGGTCGTGCCCAACTGAGTCTGGTTCTCTCAAGGTTTTTTTTCTTCACTCCCATCATGTGAAGTTTTTTTTCCCTCTCCGCTGTCGCCACTGCCTCGCATGGTTCAGGATTGGTAGAGCTACGCATCGATGAATTGGCTCTTCAGTGTTTGAACTCTCAGTAATGATTAAATTACACTGAACTGAGCTAAACTGAACTGAACTTAAACACTAAAAACTGAACTACACTGTTCCAGTTACTGAACCACACTGTTCCAGTTACTATGACCATTTATGTGAAGCTGCTTTGACACGATCTACATTGTAAAAGCGCTATACAAATAAAGCTGAATTGAATTGAATTGACTAGTCATAATTATAATTCGACTAGTCAGAATGACAATTAGAGATATCTGCAAATATAATTTGACTAGTCAAAACTCAATTGAAGATATCTCTAATGATGTTGTAGATATCTCTAAAAGATGCGTCAGATATCCGCAAATGTAATTAGAGATATCTCTAATTCCGTTTCGACTAGTCACAATTATATTTGAAGATATCTGCATTGCTATTGCTCCTAGTCAAATCTGCGTGAGTGACGTCATTTCCTCAGCTCCGCCCACAGATCCTCCCCAGACCTTCTTTTCACAGCGGAATTTTACACCGGAAGCGCCCTTCGAAGCAATGTATCGATTTTTCCGGATTCGCTCAATAGTATGATCCTGCACAACTGGAGTAGCTGCACTCTCAGGACCGCATTTTTAGGACCGCATTTTTAGGACCCTAGTTTTTTTTGCGAAAGCGCCACCTACCGGATTGGATGACATAGTGAAACTGCATTTCTAGGACCCGTTTTGTAACTGCGCCACCTACTGAATTGGATTATATAGCAGAAACTTTCAGGCACTTTTTTCCAGAGGTTAAAGTGTAAAACGCCTGCTTTAAATAACAATTTTAAAATGAAACAAATGAATATACACCTAAAATATAAATGAATAAATAGAGTTGAGTGCCTTAAAAGTCTTAAATTCCTTGAAAAATACTGTATATTGATGAACACCATTACATTGAACTAATTAGCTCAGTATTAGGGAAAATAAATTGAAATCAAATGGGATCAGCATTTGCAGTTACTATTTTAAAACCAGGTTGTAAAGGTTTTAGAGAGTCAAGACACAAGAATGATTCAAGAATGTACTTTTATATAAATATCCACACACTCTTTTTGTATTAATGCAATTCAACCACAAAAATGACCCCACTGTTTATTCAGTTGCTGCATTCAATTTTTTATTCCTGTGAATGAGAGAGAAGAAGAGAGTTCAAGTATATGTATATACACACACACACACACACAAACATATATATACATATTATATATATATATATATATATATATATATATATATATACATACATACATATACATGCATATACATATATATACATACATACACACAGTGGGGTAAATAAGTATTCAACACGTTCCCAATTGCCTCAGAAAACATATTTCTAAAGGTGCTATTGACCTGAAAACCAAAGAAAAAAATATATGAATAGAAAACAAATCTAATTACTTTACAAATTGTTATCAACATCTGGTGAAAATTTCAAGTCAACAGCACCTTTATAAACATGTTTCCTGAGAAAAATGGAAGCGTGTTGAATATTCAATTCAATTTCAATTAACTTCATCTTTATTTCTAAAGCACTTTTACAATGTAGATTGTGTCAAAGCAGCTTAACATTTATTAAATTCAGTTTAGTTCAGTGTGGTTTAGTTTTCACTGCTGAAAGTCCAAACACTGAAAAGCAAATCCATCGATGCACAGTTCCACAAGTCCTAAACCAAGCAAGCCAATGGCGACAGTGGAGGAACAAAACTTTACCAATTGATGAAAGTGAAGGAATGAACCTTGAGAGAAACCAGGCTCAGTTGTGGGCACAACCATTTCTCTTCTGGCCACACTTCACGTGCAGAGCTGCAGTCTAGGCGCTGGAGGCTAAAGAACACTGGGCGTCCATCGTGGAGAAGCTGCAGGTGTGAATAGGTCACCAGCGGGTTTTCAGGCTGGACCACAGGATCAATGCGGGCACTCATCTGTTGCTGAGGTCTTTCATAACTTTCATTATCACTTGGGGTCTCATGCTCTCCACTTCTCCATGACCACCACTGCATCTGCTCATGATACGGTCTGTTTCAGGATTATGGATACATCTAGAAGTCCTCTATGGTGGCATCATCTCTTCACAGGTCACGATCTCTAGAGGCTTCAGGATGAATATCCCCAGGTGGAAATAGGGAACAAGGAAAATAATTAGCGCAGCTGCAGTTCATAGTGTATTTATTTAAACAAATGATATTAAATATCAAGACAAAAATGAAGTGCTATGAGATAAAACAGCAGTTATATAAATAAACATGAAACGCACATGATTATTTATAACAAAATGTCTGGTGCATTAAGACAGCAAGAGTGTGTCCTCCAGGTGGTTTGTCAATCCCACTCACCCGCATAGAGCACATAGGGCAGCACAGTGGTTAGCACCGTCGCCTCACAGCAAGAAGGTTGCTGGTTCAAGCCCCGGCTGGGCCAGTGGTCATTTCTGTGTGGAGTTTGCATGTTCTCCCCATGTTCAAGTGTATGAGTGTAAATGGGTGTTTCCCAGTACTGGGTTGCGGCTGGAAGGGTATCCACTGTGTAAAACATATACTGCATAAGTTGGCGGTTCATTCTGCTGTGGCAACCCCTGATAAATAAAGGGACTAAGTCGAAAAGAAAAATGAATGTCTATAGATATTCTTGAATATGTAAAATCATGTATATAAACTCAAAAGGTTAATCAATTGTTATGCAATTAAATTTAGATTAATATTTAATATAAGAGGTATAATAACAAACATTTGCTTTACAGTGTTAGCTTTTAACATATATATATATATATATATATATATATATATATATATATATATATATATATATATATATATATATATATATGCACTGTTGGGAGAACCAAACAGGAAACCTTACTCCCAATTCCATATTTTTTAGTATATAAGAGCAATACCCACCTATTGAATGGTCTCTCTTCTTTCGTCAGTTGTTTGTCAATCTGTCTGTTAAATTATTTTACTTCTATGAAATAGAGAACAATCACTGTTGAGTTAACATATATACCAGTAACAAAAAGGCTCTTTGAGCATTGTGCAAAAATTAACCATATTCTGACCTGTAATGATAATCTTTACCAGAAAGAAAGACCTGCTCAGCATATTTTTATTACAAAATAAACACATACTTTAACAGTTTAAAATAAAACTTAATAGAAAATCGGTACTTACACTTTCCTTGTCATCCGTGTCGTCCATTAGCGCATCCATGATCCAATCCGACAGTTGGCGCTGTCACAAAAAAATAGGTTCCTAAAGATGCGGTCCTAAAAATGTGGTCCTGAGAGTGCAGCCACTCCAGTTGTGATTCGCTAGGAGCCGCAGAGACATGACAGCCTCGGGACAGCGGAAGACTTTCTCACGGTCAACTTTGCCATAATTTGGACAGGAAGATGTTGTTCGGTGAATGTGTAAAATTGCCTAAATAAAAAACAGCATTTAAAAGATGATACCGATTTGCAGAATTTGTGCAGAAAACGTGTCTTACACGCAGCGTTTGCAACGTCAGGTTACAGTAAGGTGCACAGCCAACAGCATAAGATCTGCTCATTCAAGCCATTCGTGCGCAAGATTAACCTGGCTATTTAACATCCAGCAGGATGAGTTTTATGTCAGTAGTCCCGTCTGCATACTGTGCTAACCTCCTCCTTCCTTTTTATTCAGAGTCAGATATAGTGAATGGCGAGTTAGTTGTGCAGGCGAGTTGCTATCGGGCAATGCAGGAGCCCCATTCATTACAGGTTGTTTAATGCTCGTAAGGTTTTCTTAAGTCTGAAAACACGTTAGCTCCTACTCGTGGATAATATTCATTTTTATTATTTATTTGAAGAACAGCAAATAACATTTTTACAATACAAAAATGTACATGCCAGGGGGTTATTATAAATAAAATACAAAATGTAATATAACAATAATAAAATACATTGTAGAGTTCACACATTTTAAAGTGGGTCGAGTTTTCTTGTTTAGAGAGTTGATCCTGGTATTATACAAGTATATTTCAGTCATCAATCCCTTAAAATCTGGTTTCATATTAGTAAATTTACATTTATTAATGTACAATTTTGTTAACAACATAAGCAAATTAAATAAATAAAACTATTTTCCTCTAGATTAGGATAATCAAGTAAAGCCCAAATGTACATTTTTCCATAATGATGAAAGAGGTTTTGAACACAAAAAAAATTTTATTAATAAAATTTTGCACCTCACCCCATAAGCTGACTATGTACAATATCAAAATAAGTGTAAAACTGTCTCCTCTTCCTTCCAAAAATACAATTTACATCAATCCCACTTTTAATTTTTTGCAAACAATGCTTTGCTGGATAAAACCTGTGGATAAGTTTATAGGACATTTCTTTAATTCTATTTCTAACATGATATTTCTGTGGTAACAGCCAAACTTTATTAAAGGGTGAATTAAATAAGACATAAAATTGGATATAAGGTACAGTAGTCATTTCTTTTTGGAAAAGAGTATGAATAGCTCTATCATTACTCTTGGTATTTAGTAAAACAAAATTTGCAGACATAAGATTTAGTAATATCAAAAGACAATGCATCAGAAGGATTGTCTTATTAATACATCTAAATAACATGAATGAATAACATGTCTCTAAAGGAATTGAACCAATAACAGTAGAAAACTTGCTGGGTTATTGAGATTTTGTAATTAAAAAGAACTCCGTTGTAAGAAAAGTATTCCATCTTTATTATATAACTGACTAAACAAATAATTTTGCGTTTTTGCGAGATTTGCGTTTGTATGAATTGTCTATTATTCCAAGAAAGTGGGGAGAAATCATGCTTATAGATGAATGACCATGATGAGCACTTGTTTGTAGAAGGCAGATAGCTTAATTGGAGTTTTGTCTATATTATAATTACTCATCAAAATAAAATTAAGACCACCAGTCTTTAATAAAACATGATAATCTCCGCTTTGAAGTGCATACAGCATACGAACGTACTCCCGCATATAACTTGAAAAGACATTCAACCCCTCTAATAATGTCATCCATGATTTTCTCTGTCCTTCGTCTTTCGGGAGATATTGGTCATTAAAGTAAGGTTGTTGTTTTCTTGAGTTGGAGCAGCCGAGAACGCAGCAATCACAGCGATGAGATGACCCTGCCATTCTTTCTTAGTCCGTCGCATTGAAACCGTATGTTGTTGGGACGCTGTTTCGCTAACACCGGAACCAGGAAGTGTGAAAAAGGCCTATTGGCGCGCTCGAATACCAAATGCGTAATAATTTAGGCGGGGTTAAGCAAAGCAGGTGATTTGAATATACAATACAGATATCTACAATAGAGTTTTGACTAGTCACAATGTTAATTAAAGATATCTACAATTATATTCTTCCTAGTCACAAAGCTCAATGCAGATATCTCCAAAGAATGATCCTCCTAGTCAAAACTTTAAACAAGATATCTCTAATTACATTGCAGATATCTTTTAATGAGTTTTGCCTAGTCACAATTCCATTTCAAGATATCTCTAAATGAATTTTGACTAGTCAAAAATCCAATTCAAGATATCTACAATTGTAATTCGACTAGTAGTAAATTAATTAGAGATATCTTCAAATATATTTGTAGATATCTCTAAATATGACTAATTAAAGATATCTCTAAATGTATTATGACTAGTAGAAACTCAGTTAGAGATATCTCTAATTACAATTGTGACTAGTCGAAATTCATTTAGAGATATCTCTAATTATAATTGTGACTAGTCGTAACTCATTTAGAGATATCTCTAATTACAATTGTGACTAGTCAAAACTCATTTAGAGATATCTGCAAATATTTTTCAATGGAAGTCAATGGAGGAATATGACTAGTCATAATATATTTGCAGATATCTCCAACATGATTTCGTACTAGTACAATTGTAATTGCAGATATCTCTAATTGTCATTCTGACTAGCCGAATTATAATTATGACTAGTCAAAATATAATTAGAGATATCTCTAAATATATTTATGGATAGTCAAAACAAAGTAGTAAATGTTAAAACGGCTTGCCATAGTCGGATCTCTAAACGCTCTCGCGATACTATGACGCCACGCACTGATCCGTCCGCGCAATGCTGCTTTTAAATTTCCACTTTTTTCTACGTCATCATAGCTTGAAAAACATACTTGTCAATAGTTTATATCTGAATATGTATTAATACTTTGTGTAATGTATCAAGGCATATAGTAAAAAAAATAAAGTTAAAAAAATTCCACTGGTTTGTCGCTGGGGGGCGATCTCCGTGAATAAATAATGCTGAACTAGTTCTACTTTTATTATATCTCTTGATTTACGGATTTGCAACATTAATAATAACAACAAGAACAAGTAAAGATAATGGACACCTCTGGTGACCAGCTTTATGCGGATTTGATTGTCAGAAACTCGCATGCCCCACACTGCCAAAAATATTATTGAAGGCTGTTTTTCAGAGCAACCTAACTTTCCCTGACCAAGTATTGAGTGTTTTTTACATCTTCATACAATTAATTAGTCCAACATTTCTGTCCTAAAAGTCAATAATAGTAATATTTAAATTTTCAAATAGGCCTATACTTAATTTTACGGTTTCATTTGCTGCAAGCTAATCATCAACATAAAAAAAACACTTGAAATATATAAGATAATCAAATTTACTGAGATACATTTATATAAACCCATATACAAACTCATATGCAGATGTGAAATAAATTGTTGGTACCCTCCCTCACATTAAATATGAAAAACCCACAGTCACTGAAATAACATTCATTAATTTTCCTTCAACTTAGTCCCTTACTTATTACTGGTCACCACAGAGGAATGAACCACCAAATATTTTGGAACATGATTTATGCAGCAGATGCCCTTTCAGCTGCAACCCAGTATTGGGTTAACACACACTCTCATTCACACACACACTGATACTGCAGGCAATTTAGTTCCATTGTAGTTCCATCCAATTCACCTATACCGCATGTCTTTGGACTGTGGAGGACCCTGAGTAAACCCACCTAAACAACTGGGAGAATATGCAAACTCCACAAAGAAATCACAACTGACCGAGCCTGGACTTGAACCAGTGACCTTGGAACCAGCTGTGAGGTGATAATGCTAACCACTGAGCCACCGTGCTACATGGATTAACAACACATTATCAAATAGCATTATCAAAACTATAACAATGTCAAACTGACAAAAGTGATGATTAATAGTAATAATAATAATAAAAAAAACACTGTAAATAAACAAATGAAAATCTCATTTTGTTTTCAAATTGTGGTTCAATTGAAGCATAAAAAAGCAAAGTATTGAAATTGGTCTGGACAAAATGGATAAAACACCTAGAAAAGATTACAAATAATTTAACCATATTTTAAAGGGCAACTATTAAGCTGTTTGGACAGTGTATATGTAGTGTGTCCAAAGTCATATTAGGGTAATAGAAACATAATTAGTCTATTTTTTTTAATTTCCTGAGGTTCAAATAGGATCCAAATCCCTCCCATATTGAGGCCCACCACAACTTGATGTAGAAGTGCGGTTTCCCCGCCCCCCAAACTGATTGACAGCCGTACATTAAAATGTCTACATTGTAACACGTATAATACTATAAACAAGACAGGACATGCGTAAAGCAACTAGAACTAAAAGATCTGTTCAGCTCTCTGTGATAATCAATCATCATCAAATGTGATCAAGTATGAGTTTTACAAGTTTAAAACAGTTCATGTGTGTAATCAATTACAGAAATTTTAACGTCTTTACTTTATCACCACAGTCATGTGTCAGTACAATGATAAAAAAGACGCTTCAATCCTGCTTTGTGGACAATAAATTAGGTTTATTTTGTACATTAACATAACAGATCTTTAGCAGCAGTGAATATTAATGTGTATTCTATCACATTTGCTGTGCAAAACAGGGCAAAGTTAAATGCGAATTGTGTGTGTGTGTGTGTGTGTGTGTGTGTGTGTGTGTGTGTGCGTGAACATTGTAATAACATTGTGTATGACCCATCAATGCAGAAAGGCTTGAATTAACTCCACAACAAATACATCAAATAATCATTGGGAAAGTTCTTACTGTAGTATTTCTCCTAAACGTTATGTGAGATCTGCTTCCTTCATGTCTTTCACTGTGCTGCTTATCAGATGCAGCAGAAGATGAGAACACACATCAGAGCCATAGGGATTGATCTCTGTGACTCTGACAGGCAAGTGGGAATGGTGGGAAGGGAGAACTAGCTCACAGACAAAAGCTGAAACGTCTAATATACTGAAAGGCATAATAAATAATCTGATGGGTGTTTTAACCTGATACCTTACAGGCACATTCTAGAGACACAAAACATTTATCTTAAACCATAAAAAGGGGATAAAATATGTGCCCTTTAAACTAAAACATAGACTGTAATTATCACCACAAGCATTTTCAAACAGGTAATCAGTCAGTGTGTCTATTTAAATGGTGAATAGTACTCATGGTATCATGGTGTGCAACACACAAAACATGGGCCAAAGAGATCTATGGAGATAAGAAAGAACATTTTAGACATGCATCTAAATGTTAGAGGCTATAAGACCATCTCCATGCAGATTGATGTTTCTGTAACTGCAGTTGTACATGCTATATATAAGTTTAAGGTCTACAGGACTGTGGCCAAACTCACTGGATGTGATCAAAAGAGAAAAAAATATATGACAAAAATCAGTTACTGATGATATGAATATTAACTAAAGAGCCCAGAATAACTTCCAAATATATTAGAAGTGAACTTCTGGATCCAGGTCATATCACCTGGTATTATAGGTCTTAAATATTTGCAGGGTACCATTAAATCTCAAGACTATCAAAGCATTCTGGATGAAGATGTGGTGCCCAGTGTCAGAAAGCTTGGTCGAAGTCATAGATCATGGGCCCCCCAACAGGATAATGACCAAAAACACAGCTTAAAACAGACAACAGATATGAACAAAACAGTGGACTGTTCTGAAATGGGGGCAGCGCAGTAGGCAGTGCTGTCACCTCACAGCAAGGTTGCTGGTTCGAGCCTCGGCTGGGTCAGTTGGCATTTCTATGTGGAGTTTGCATGTTCTCCCTGTATTGTTGTGGTTTTCACCTGGGTGCTCCGATTTCCCCTACAGTCCAAAGACGTGGTACAGGTGAATAGGGTAAGCTAAATTGGCTGTGGTGTATGAGTGTAAATGAGTGTATGGATGTTTCCTGGTGATGGATTGCAGCTGGAAGGGCATGCGCTGTGTAAATCATATGCTGGATAAGTTGGCGGTTTATTCCGTGTTGGCGACCCCAGATTGAT